TTTCTGAGTGGTATAATATTCTTGGAATAATGATGACTTGTATGCAGTATTCCTTGGAGGCATTGAACACTTTAAGGGATACACACGGAGTAAGTCCTGTCTTTGAACATATCCATCGAGCTCCTTTTGGAGGAATGACCCACTGTTCGCTAGGTTTATTGATAGTGGACTGGAAGGAGCTACAGAGCTTTCGTTTAGGTCCCCGTACGCTGCCTATGCAGGCTCCTGTCCCGGAGACATGTTGCATGGTTATTCCTATTTTTCTATCTCCCCAAGAGCATTGGGAGGGTGAGACTTCGGTGCTCAAATTATATGTACTGTTGACTCCTATGGCTTCATAAAAAGGGGGTTTTATGTCATAGCATAGCCAGAACTTGCTAGTTATTTCGGGGTTGGTTTTATTCAAGGTATCATAAGAAGCTTGCATTACATTTCAGAGAGAGTTCTCCTCAGCTATACCAGTAGGTGGGGTTATGGTATTATCCTCAGCTGGGGTTACTGTACTTGTTGGGCTCAGGGTGGGCGGTTTCTTTATTTTTCATCCGTTAAGGACTCTGTTAGGACCAACCCCCCTGAGAAGGGCTCTCTAACCTTTTCCTTTTTTATAAAAATTAGACCTCCTCTATCGGTTCCAGGTTCCCACAGCCTTATTCCCCAGGTTCGCCCTAATACCCAACCGGAGTCTTGAGGCTGTTTGATGGTAACATTTAAATATTTACAATTTCCATCTCTATTTATACTCCCATCATAACTGTAGGTAGGTTGGCTACATTTTTCCGGGGCCCAGGTCACATCAATGTGTTCATCTTTTAGAGCGGGCTCCCAATTTCCGGTTACTACAGTTTCACAACCCCAATAGGTACAATAATAATGGCCTGGGGAATTGCAGTAACTTTTCCCATGGTTTGAGCTGGGACACCAATAGGTGGCTTTGAGATTCGTCGCTCCCCAAGAGTATTGCCGGGAAGCGGCACATTCATGATCGTTAGTGCTTCCCCCATAACCTAACATGGGGCGTAATAACTCGCAATTGGTCACGTTAAAGGAGGGGGCTCCTGCTGTAATTACTTGTTTAACAGTGCTTTGGTCTTCCCACCTGATTAAACTCCACTTATAAGGCTGATGAGGACTCTCTTCTCCATTTGCTCCCATTGTCATCAATAACAGCTTTATTATCCAAAAGCTTATTTTTAGGTTTGAGAAGAGTGGTGTGCCTTTATTTCTGCTACAGGTATCCCAAAGTCTCTGATAATTACTTTGGTTTTGATCTTTGTTCCCTGGGAGAGATGGGAGACTTCGGGGAAGCTTTAAGGTTGCCTGGGTTGGGAATTGCAAGTCAAGGAACCCCACAAGCCATTTCTGTAGGTGGTTCATCAACCTCAATCCCCACAGCAGTACGCCTCTGCCTCTTCTTCTGTTGCTTAGAGCAGCGAGGGGTACCATCTTCTCGGCAGCAGTGGTATTCTTCGGGGGAACCTCTATTTTTAGTCAACCTTGACTTATATGCTTCCCAATTTTTATTTTTCACTTCCCAGGCTCCACACCTCACTTTGGCTAGTGTCCGTCTGCAAGTTACTTGCACGACTTCAGCGCTCGTTGGGCAGGGTTCATTTGCATGGAAATAGCACTTTTCAGGGTTTATGCCCTTGGCAAAGATATCCCACCACTCCTTAGATTCTCTTATAATTTTGCCAGTTGCTACTGCTACGCGTAATGCCTGTTCAGTTAGTTTCCTTTCATACTTGTAACATTCATGACAAATACCACTAGGAGGATACCCATAGAGGCAATGGACCCACCACTTTTCTTTACACAGGTTACACTTATAACAAACAAAAGGATAACAAATACAATCGGGATTTTTACAAAAGATAGTCTCACTCATCCGCTTTTCTTCAGAAGATAACTTTTAGGTCGTCAGGGTTTCCGGCCATCTCCCAATGGGAAGTCCGAATGGGTCCCTTGATTCTGCTTGCGTGAGTCCACCCTTTTTCAGCAGTTCGAACAGCAGTATCTGTGGTGAGTAAAACAAGGAAAGGTCCTTCCCAACAGGGAGTCAGGGATGATCCTTTCCAGGCTTTGATTAATACTTTATCTCCTGGATTGATGCTGTGGATTGTAATGTCTAAGGGCGGCCTCTGCACTATTAGC